AAGAGTCATATGCAAGCTTCGTTTAGAAGAGCAGCTTTATGGCTCTTATTGGCAAAGCTGTATGACAGTGACATACAGAGCCCAAAGCCCCAGGTTTAGCAATGGGACTTCACTAGATGTTTTTTACCTGTAGATCATGAATTATACCCAGCCTGAACCATGAAGGATTTGCAATTAATTGAATGGATACTCAGTAGCTGAAGTAAGTCTGGCAGCACAGCACATCCCGAACACATGGATGTTAGCATGACTTCTAGGTATGTTTCAGCACATAAAACAGAGATAAAACATGTTCCTCCTATATGCTGGTGAGCCCTCCAACTCACAGCTGAAAAATAGCAATATGCCAGTAAGAGCACTGATACTTGTTCTCAAAATGAACAGAAGACATCACCACTGGATTGTCTAGTCCATCAGTGTATTTAAAGTAAGAGGAAACAAGAAGAAAGAAATTCCCCTTGAACAGAGAAGCCTGGCATAGGTCAGACTTCCTGCCTATCTTGCTGGCTTTTCTCTATAGATGCTGACACAACAGCAGGAGGGACAGTGGCATGTGGGCTTCCTAGCAGTAAGGCATGGAAGGCTGCAGCAGGGAATGTGTGTTGAAGGTCAAGATTTTAATCCATTCCCTTCTGTATTCTAGTGAGATCTGGCAGACTCTGCAACAGTCTCTGAAATGCAAGTGGCTCCCCAAGCACACCTAACTTGGGCTAAAAGCACTGCAAACCAGGGGGTGGCAGCCACTGCTTCCCATCAAACCCTGTCACTCGCAGGCCCCTGAAACCATTCCATTCTGGAGGCTGCCTTGCTTTAACTGAGCATCTCATCTGTGATTTGCTACTAGCTAGGCTGAAAGGTACACCAGTCTCCTCTTTCCCCCTAAGGAGGATTGTAAGGGGAAACAAGGAAAACTACATTTCGGCCATGAGATTCCCAGCTGTCTTCCTTCCCCAGCCTCAGCTCCCCAACTCTGTGATATCGGCCCTCACCTGGCCCTGAACCACAGCTGTGAAAACCGCTCGGAAGTTCTGCATGTCAGCAGTCTGCAACTCCGCCACAATCCCCGCATCCAGCAGCACCAGGCAGAGCTGCCCGTGGGGCGGCTGCACTTCCACCACGAGTGTGTCACACAGGTCCACGATGGCTGTCTGCTCCTTGCTGCTTGCGCTGATGTGGGCCATGCCTTGGACCAGGATGTTCCCAGGGTGCAGGTCAGCATGGACAAAGTTGTCAACAAAGATCTGGAGAAAGGACAAGTCTTAGAGCAGCTCATTCTAACCAAACCTGCCCATACCAAACTCCCAGGCAAATCATACCATTTCATTTCTGGTCTGTTCCCCACCATTACTAACATGCATCACCCTATGCAACAGCACAGCGAATAACTTCTGCTGAGGACAAGCTGTGCTGAAAGAGCATGGGTGCTAGTCAGCCTGGAGGCGTCAGCAGAGCTGCGTGAAGCAATCATACACATTTGCTAGAGGTCTGGTAAGACAGCAAGCAGTTCCAGCACGGAACAGTGGAATTGCTCTTCAGCAATTAACCCTCAACTAGATGGACACTGGTGCGCCTTGGCCAAGAGAAGCGCAGTAAGAATAGGTCCTTTGCCATTCATTGGTATGGGATTTAGTGAATGACTAAGGATTTGTTTACTCCAGCACATCAACCTACATTCTCCTCACTTTTTTATACCGTTGTAGTAAGTTAAAAGAAAAGAGGAGACAGAGGTATGTAGCACTCCTCTGCCTCTGCTGATGGCTAACAGCAGAAAGGAGTAACAGCAGGGCAAACACAATGTGATACTCCCCGCTGACCCTCCTAACAACCTGGCACTGCAGGGCTTCCTGCCCCAAGGGGGCTTATCTTCATATTTGATGGATTTCCTTCTCCTGCAAATTTGTCTAATTGCCACGTAAATTAGAGCAGCATGAAAAAAGAGGAGTGCTTTTTGGGTGTTGTCTGAAAAAGTGCCTTCTGATAGCTTTGTTTGTGGCCTCCTTGTTGTTCTCTTTTGAGAAACCATAAATAACAGATTCATATTCACTGTCATACACCCATGAATGCGTATATCTGTCACAAGCTGCCCTCGCTTCTCTGCTTTCCAGAGTTAAGAGTTCCAATCTATTTCATCATTCCTGTGTGGAAGCCATTCCACTCCAGAAGTCATCCTCTCTGCCCTCCTCTGCACCTTTTCTAATTCTATTACAGGCTTTGAGATGGAAGGTCATGGAAGGGAAGGACTAGGACTGCACAAGGTATTTAAGAAACAGGAACTTGTTTTACATACTACCTTCATGTTGTTCCATTGCTAATTCTTTTCTACTACTGGAATTTGGTTTGCTTTTTTTGATTGCTCATAACCATTGCGATTATACATACAATACACATATTGTATGTATGTGCAACTTTTTTAACCTCCTTGAAAATGGTAGTTTTGGAGGAGAGATGGATACAAGTGAGTGAACTAGGCTAGCAGTTTCCCTGTGGGCTGCATCCACAGTTTCTTCAGAGAGCATGATATTTGCTAATTACGTTGCACTGTATTGCACTTGCACAACACATGAATATTCACTAAATGGATTAGTGGGTTTCCCTAAGCAATGCACTGATCAAATTGCACCTGAGGTCCCTACTGCGTACAAGCAGGTCTCCCTGCTGATGGTGCCTACCATCTTTAGGAGCATGTCCATGCCCATCTTTGCAAGTCTCTGCCTCAGCTCTGTGGCAATCTCTGCATGCAGGTACTGGGAAATAGGCTCACTCTCCTGAAACAAAGACAGAGCTGGAGTCAAAAATACCCTGGGTCACACCCTTCAACCACACCTCTACCAACTTCTGCAAAGAGTGGGGGGGAGAAGAGAATAAAAATACCCTAAAAACGGAGGCTGTACCCACTGCGATAGGGAACATGGGAGAAGAAAACGATTTGTTCTTTGGAAAGAGT